TTTATTTATTTATTTTTTGGTGTTTTTCCAGGACCGGGAACCAAACTCACGACCTTGCGCTTACCAGGCAGGCGCTGTGCCGCTGAGCTAAATCCCCAGCCCCCCTTACACGTTATTTAAATCTGAATAACTGAGATAGTGAAGACTATAAAACTCACTTGTTAATATTTAATCTTAAGAGTGCCAATAAAAAAATGTTTTCACATCTTTCAAAATTTAAAGTCTTCTTGTGATGCAGAGGCTATTTCTCTATCACTTTTAATTGATACATAATTCTACTTCTTCCTTCCTAAAATTGGTTGCCTGAATGAAACAGAAGGAGTGACCCATCAGTTGTCACCAAAAAGAGGGAATTTTAAAACTATTAAACAGATAATAATACTGCGTTTTTAAAGGCTAGGAAGGAATATGTTGGTGGTCATATAAATTAGTACGATCCTTCTGGAGAGCTATCTGGCAAAATTTGTCAAAGATTAAAGTAGAAGGAACTTTTTTACTTAACCATTTATACTTCCAGAAATTTATCTTAAGGAGATAATCAGACCAGTCAGCACACATGTATATACAGTAGAATTTATACTGTGAAGAACTGTTTATAATCATAAAAAAGTTAAAACTATTTAAGTGCCCTACATAGGGCCTGAGTAAGCAAATCATAAATGGTATACAGTGAAATTCTAGGCAGCCATAATAAATAACGCAAAGTAGTAGTTGTCATGGATACGTCCACAACATATTGAAAGGAGAAAGTATATTACAGAACTACATGTACTATTCAATCTCAACTGCAATTTCTAAATATGGTATTGGTACAGATACCACTATGTGTGAGACATAAGAAAAACAGAGGCATAAAAGCAAAGCATTAAAAGAATGTTCACAGTGGTCGCGCTTGTGTGCTAAGAGTTGAAATGGTTTTTACCTCCTTGTTTATACTTTTTGGATTGTTTGTATTATTTTGTAATGAGCATATCCATTTTTAAAATTTAAAAAAGACTTACTAGATAGAATGCAGAGTACCAGGAGTGAACCAGCCCTAAGATAAACTATAAACTCTGAGCGAGGATGACCTGTCAATGCAGGTTCAACAACTACAACAAATGCCTCACTCCGGGGCTAGATGATGCGTGGGAATGGCTGTGCGTGTGCGTGTGTGCGCATGCGTGCATACGTGTGTGGGTACGTGCATACGTGCTTGGGTAAGTGCATACGTGCTTGGGTAAGTGCACGCGTGCATAGGGCCAGCGGGGCATAGAGGAACAGCCATGGTTTGAATGTGCCTCCTAAAACGCATGTGTAGCAACTTAAACCCCAATGCAACAGTGTTGAGAGTGGGGCCTAGACGATGCTTTGGTTTTCTGCGCTGCACCCTTATGAATGGATGAATGTGGATTACAAAAGGCTTGGGGTTGGGAGTTCACGCTCCAGTTCTCTCTCCCCTGTGATGCCTCTGCCATATTGTGACTCAACAAAAAGCCCCTCACCAGATGTAGCGCCTTGATCCTGGACTTCTCAGCTTCCACAACTGTGAGCCAAATAAACTTTTATGAGGTGTGATCAAAATATACGATAAATTTTTAATTTTTAAAAAAATTCATTACAGTAAAAGACACATTGGCATTAGACTCCCCCTTAAAATATTCCCCCCTGCTTCAAACACACTTATCCCATCATTCTTGCCACTTTCTGAAGCAATTCTAATTTCATGAATGTTTTCACAAGGTGTGATAGAATGCAGTGAACGCTGCTGCCAAGTGCCATCCCACGGAAAGGCAGGTTTGTGAAAATATTACAATGACTCTTGGGCTACCTTATTTACCGGATCTGGCGCCATGCAACTTCTGGCTGTTCCTCAAAGTCAAAATGACTATAACAGGTAAACACGACAATTGATTCAGGACACTGAGGTAGCCACAACAGTGCAACTAAAGACACTCAAACAGTCCCCGTATGTTTGAATCACACCTCATATAAATTACAGTCTGTGGTGTTTTAGTATAGCAGTACAAAACAACCTAAGTCAGAAACTACCTCTTTCAGGTCAAGTTTCTGTGAATCTAAAACTGCTCAAAAAATGAAGTCTATGGAAAAAACAGACATTAAAATAACTCTTGAACACTTTAATTAAAAGTTTTGTCCATTAAAAGAAATTGGAGGCAACAGAAGCGAATTTGAAAAGGCTTTTATCAGAAATCATTTCAAAACGCTGCAGACTGCTTAGGCCAACTGGGGGTGGTGGAGAGAAGTGCAACAGGCAGTCTCCTCGTTCCCCAGCAGTCCCCCCAAAAGCAGATCAAGAACGCTCTCTCCTCTTTTAAGAACCTCACTACTTTGTGCATTTACCCTGAAGACACTCTACTGTTTCTTTCTTGTTACTTCTGATTTAACAGAATGTTTTCAGCGAAAGCTTAGGGAACTTAACACTAGGTTAGGTAATCAAGGGCTCAAGAAAAGCAGTTCAACACTTTGTCTTAGATTAGCTTGAAAATGGAGTTCTAGCTGGGGTATAAGACCCTGCTGCTAAAAGATAAGCCAGTCTTAAGGGGTTTTGATGGAAGACCAAATACCAAGATGAGATTCTGCTGATAAGCCCTTTTTGTTAAGGGAAGAAGCATTCTGATGCAAGCTGGGCAATAAAATCAGGATTGGCATAAATTAATGGGAAAAACTAAATTTTACCTTAATTTTCAATCTCTTCAGTATAAGAAATATGTACAATATAATTTATACCTCCTATCCTTTGCATATACTCATCCCTGTATGTCACATAGATTTATTTTTAACAGAGCTTAAAATAATAAAAGACTTTTAAGGTTTCTATATAAAATATATGCCTTGTAGTGGAAACTACGTAAACAACATCCAGACTTTTTTAATTGTTTGAAGGAAAAGCCAGACTTGACAAAAACTAAATCCTTAAATCTGACTAAAAAGAACTGGTACTCTCATGAGGTCCAACAAACTAGAGCAGTATCTTAAATTAACCATAGGATGTCAACAAGTCTATAGTAGAAATCGAGTCCTCTAATAAGCTATTCTCATCAAGTCACACTATGTATGAACTTCAACGCAAATGAAGTTTAATTAACTTATCCAAGGCAGGAATAATAACATGCCCAACAACATCAAATTGTTACACTGGGCAGAACAGGCCCCGTTAGCTGAAGCTTAATATTAATGGCATTTGCTCAAGCTTAGCGATACACACTCAGAAGATAAACATTTTCACTATGATGAGTGCTAAGCTCGTACAGCATATTTTTAGTTTCCCTTGGGAAACTTAAAATTTAAAATGCAATGCCTTTGGAATATAACTGTGTGATCAGGACATTTCTAATGGCGTACGGATTGTCTTTAGTACTTAAGAAAAATTTTGGTCGCCACATTTACCTACTGTTCCTCTTTTAGTTCAGAGCAGTGAAATAAAACCGTGTTACGATTCTCATGGTAAATCCTCCTTTCCTAAAGCCCCCTGGGTTAATTACCAGAAATCTATTAGATTTAGCAGAATCATACTCAGACTGACTGGGAGAAATGGTAAGATCAAGCCAAGATTGCTGCTATCTTGAGAAAAACAGCCACACCTCAAGCCTCCCAATGCCTATAGCTTCTTGACCAGAAGTGCCACACAGTTCTTAGCCCCGCTGTACTTTCAGGCTTCTATATGTCAACCTATGAGAAGCAGCCTGTGAAAACAGCTGAATAAATAGGAACACTTTCCTGATCACTGAAAAACATTAACTTGCATCAAAAGAAGTCACATTACAGGTCCCTCTAAGATCCCAAGGAGCTTCCCCAGGGCACAGATCTGAATTAAATTCAACGTAAGTGCAGAATTCCCAGGCAATACCACAGGACAACATCAGTTTTATCTTTGCTACCATCCTAATGTGATATTATTAAGTGTCCCCATTTTTTTTTTAACTGAGGAATTTATAGCCCAGAGATTAAGAACCCTGCCCAAAGTCATGAAGCTAGAAGTAGGATAGGAACCCAGATGAAGCATAAAAAACATCTGACTGTCCCACTGTGTAGGCAGGAGATACACATTCTGATTTTACATCTGACCACTGAAGCCTGGCCGCACTACAGGCAAAAATAACTCTGTCTCTTGGCTGCTGCTTCTCTAAAGAAGTCTGCGTCTTGTCGTCCTGGATTGTTGTGAAAACATGAAATTAACAGAATGAAAAACTTGCAAAAAATTGAAAGCTCTATATAAGTGTGACATACTAAATATACCCGGCTCTGAACAACCCAGCAACACAGAAATTACTTCCTAAAGAGAGGAACGTAAAAGTTTTCTTTGTCACCATCTTTATCTTTCACGGTATGTGTCTGGTGCCCCTGTGAAGTGACAGACCATCACACCGGAAGTCAAGGTCTCAGTTGCAAAGCAAAACAACCTGAACAGGTAATACAAAAACAGATTTGACATTTATTGTTGAGAACAGCCAACCAGTTTCACAACACAAAAGCATATATAAATAGCAGTCTGTATCCAGGGAAACACAGTTTCTCTTTGATAAAAACATCCTTGATTGTAAAGACAATTATTTACCTCTAAACTGTCAAATCCTGAGGGAAAAAAGGATAGTGATTACTTCAAAATGGGTACAACTCCGATAAACAAAGAATCAGAATTCTTTCTTACCTCCCACATGTACACATTATTCTTAACCTGAGATCTTTTTTTCTTATCACCAATGAACGGCCCAAACTTTTTGCCTTTTAAAATTGGTTTAGTGGCCCAGACACCTAGAAAATAAAATCAGTATTTTAATAACGTATTGTTGTAAAAACGAAGTATTAAAGTCAATAGGTTTGAAAAACTTCAAAGATTGAAAGTATTAAAATCAGTATTTTAATAATGTATTGTTGTAAAGATTGAAAGTATTAAAATAATTCAGCTTCATAAAGTAGTTTAAAAATATATATATAGTGCCTAAAAGCAAGCTAATGTTAAATCCACTGAGATCAAGTTTAATAAAATTAAATCAAAGCCTCAACAGGCATTTTTAGTTTCCTTCTTTATATTCTTGAGTATTTTTTAAATAGTCTGTAATGAACCTGTACTGTTTGCAAGGAAAAAAAAAAAGATTTATATTTAGTTTTTACATGTATAGATGCCCATACAGTATAATCACAAATACTTGAAGAATAACATGGTCACAATTAAAGAAGAAAAAAATATTTAAGTGGAGTAAATTTACAACTTGAACTCTTAACTCTGCTTCTCTACAGATTTTAAATAGTCTCCACTAAACATGAGTTGTTTTTATATAAATAAGGAATGTGGTTTTACGAACAAATGGTTTATTTTGTTTCGTTGGGTTTTTTTTGAGACAGGGTCTCGGTATGTATGCAGGCTGGCCTCAAACTCATGGCAATCCTCCTGCCTCAGCCTCCCAAATGCTAGGATTACAGGTGGGCACCACCATGCCCAGCTGAACAAATGTTTTTGAAGTTCACTTGCTTAAATAAAGTAGGAAAACCATCTTCTCTCTGGCTAAGCTTCCCGAAATCATAGCTATTAGGACAATTTGCAGTTTCAAAGAATCAAAATATATGCTCATCCATGATAGTCTTAGGATTATTTCTATTTCCTATACAGTGAACCTAAGCGAATGGATATGATGAAGCAGCAGCTGGTGAGATGGCAGGAACCTAACCCAGGAAGATCAAGGGAACTGGGACCCAGGCCACTTGAGATGGGCTCCTTCATCTTTGCCTCAGTTTCCTCATGTACAGAAGGGGTGGAGGTTGGGCTTGTCCTGTCGAGCTAGAATATATGAATTCTACTTGTTTGTAAGTCTGCTATAAACCGCATTTGATCATATCACTAACAATCAGTTGAGCTACAAAATCAACCATTTTCATTTATACAATAAAAAATAAATACTCCAGTTGCTCACTGAATGTTCAATGAGAATTAAGAAAAACATTTATTAAAAATTCATTCCTACATATGTGTATATAAACCAGAATATCAGGAGTACATCTTTAAAAAGACAGAGACAGAATATAAATACGAGGTACTGAAGACTGTACTTTGACTATGCTTTATAATTTACTTCGTTAGCTTTCCATGTAAAGGTTAGACCACAAAAACATGAGCAATATACACAAGTGTGGTTTGCATTCAACGAGAAATCCTAGCCAGAAGCATCTGGACACATTCAGTCCGTGTCATTCATTCAAATATCTACTGAGAGTCCACAGAATGCCTGGAACTGGACACATAAAGACAAATGAGAAATGAGGACACTCACAATCAATGACGTAAAGATGTAAAGACAATTACAAAACGAAATAAGCATCGTAACAGGAGGGAACAACATATCCACTGGGAAGAAGCCCAGAGCGACACAGGACATTTGAGTGAGAAACCAGGGATTGGTGGTAGGATGGATTCCTAGTTTTATTTTTATGATGTTAAGTCCACCCTGGACTCTTGACTGGAAAATACATGAACACCATATAATCTTCTGAGTCAAGACAAATCTGTTCATCGTATGGCACTGCTGCCTACCTTCCCAGCCCCCACAAGAAGCTGTGTGCTCTTTATTGCCCGTCTCTCTGTGACTGAAGTACTTACCAATACGGGTCTTGTCAACAGCAGATGGAAAAAGCCTCACTTCCTCCGGAAGTCCTCGCAACACATGTTCAGGTACCTCGGCCAGGGTCTCAGTGGCTGCCGCAGGCTCATGAGCGTTCTGCAAGTAAAGAAAATAGGAAGATCATAGCCAGTGGAAGGAAATCTAAGTCATGTTTAGGTGATTTTTTTTTTCCCCTTTCTGGTCCAATAGCCAAATATGTAAAAATGTAACTGAAACTAGAAGTGGGCTAGCCAGAGAGAAATGATGATGTTAAACATTTCGGGAGTTACTCCGATGCTTACTTGTGAGTCTTTAAAAAGAACCACTGTAACCTTCCACCGTGTCTGTGTTGATCTATTTTGTTCCAGCTACTGCAACCATCCCCAGAATATGTAAATCTCTAGCACCATACTGCTTTTTAAGCTCCAAAAGAATCTGGCAGAAAATACATCTTAAGCTGACTTTTAAATCAGAGATTACCATCAGCATTCTAGCACTTTTAAAAATAAAAACTAATACTCCCCACTTAATGGACTAATTGCGGCACATACTATAAAGGCTGCTCTGACCACTTCGACAATGTCCTGTTCATGTAACGCTTAGCAACTATGTGCAACCTCACCAAGATTGACTATGCCACCCAAAACATCACAGCTTGTTGTGGTCCCTCACTGGAAGTGTGACTTCCCAGGACGATAATTAGCAAAGTTACAACTATACCAGAGTCACTGGGAAATAAAAAATTTTATAAGTAACTTATCAAAGTTCGGGTTGGAATTTATCATAATCTTAAGAAATAAAGACAGCTGTTATATATGTATGTAGGGAAAGGGGAGATTCAAGCCGATTGGCAAAGTGTGACTGTTACTTTAAAAATAATTTTCAAATGAATGGGCAACCAAGAGTCTTCTAACTGGTTCCACATACACCCTGAAGAACTGATGTGTATATCACAACATCGCTAAGAATGATGGGTCTTGTAGTCTTAGTGTGCAAAGAGAAACACTTTTCAGTGACTTTCAAAGGAGCCAAAGTAGGCAAAAAACAAACTCCAGGCTAACAAGGTTATTTTTTTCCTACAACAATGAAATTTTTGTAGTCTTTAAGAATGTTACGTGTTGGGGCAACCCACTTTCCGGGATCCCTTTTGTCCGTCTCAGACAGAGGCTTTCTTTCTCTCAATAAATTCTTCCTACTCTTAACCTCTGTTGTTGCTAGAAATCATTACTTGATTTTAGAGAATATGAAGTCAGCGTTTTGGACATCCAACAGGTTGGGAGCTTCATTCCCCTGTATCATTTGCAGGTCTTCCACCAAGATAATTGGTCAGAGGTAAGAGTCTGCTTTTATTTCATAGATCCTGGATTCTTTTTTTTTTTTAGATCCTGGATTCTGCTTCTAGATAAGTAAAATTTTTATGATGTTACCATAGTTTTGTCCCACCTCACACCCATCCTATGATTTGCCATTGGATCAATATTACCTAAGTGACTATACTTGTAACCTTATTGATTGGTTACAGTTCTGTCCCACCTTAAGCCTGCCCCACCTCATGGCTTTGCTCAATAAAATACCCTTGAGAAACGGGGTTGGTAGTAACAACCCACATTCCAGGACCCTTTCTGTCCCTGTCAGACAGAAGCTTTTTCTCTCAATAAATTCTTTCCACTCTTAAAAAAAAAAAAAAAAAAAAATGTTATGTGTCAAGTAAAGAATATCTTCCAAACTTGCAGACTCCCAGCATTTTGATTTTTAAAAACAATCAGTAGGCTGCTTCAAGCAAAATAAACCCCACTGTCACCACAGTTGTTTGCTTGCTGGTCTTCTTGGAGAGGGAAAGCCCAAGGGGGCACCCAAAGAATCCAGCACTCACTCTGCCTGAACAACAAAATCCCCAACATGCCTTCTAAACCATGGGAGTATTAAATCGCCCCATAAGACAGTCTCATGGCATAGTACTTCCGAGCACCTAAAATGTGAACAGATTTAGTACTAACAGTTCTCACTTCTAAATATGGCACCCCTGTTTTAAAATTTTATTCTATAGCCTGGATTTTTGGAAACGCGAATACATTTTCTTCCAAAGGGGAAAAATGTATTAAATTGATAGTTGAGATCCTACTTTATATAATAATTATTCCATAATGCTGATTAGTGAACACAGTGTTGATCAATACTAGCACAGCTATGAGTCCTAGGAACACTGGCCACTGAGTAGAGTCAGCTGGAGTTTTCCCCTTTCTTGGTGATGACCCTGGGGAAGCACCTGGTGCCATTTAACCTCCCCCAAGAGTGCTGCCCTCTGCTAACCCGACTCATACTTCCAGGCACTGCTACAAGAACAGTAATAGCAACTTCACAGTATTTCCTTGGTGCAAGGCACTGTGCTAACCATCTTACAAGCTCGACATGGTTAACCGCAAATAGCCAGGACAGATGCTACCAGTGATACAACCCAGAGCGCCCCCCAACACACACAGAACAGGAAAGCGATGCTTACAGAAACGGCCTAAATTTCTCAAGGCCTGAATCTGAATTCTTGTCTAACCCTAGAGCTCAAGCTCATAACTACTGTGATTTCCATTTCAGATTTGCTGGAATATAATCTGAGAACCTCTGCCCTACAGCTTCTAGACTTCCACGGAAATGCCAGCAGGAGGTGGCGCCTAACACAGGAACGGTCATTCCCATAGGATATGTGTAATCTGAGTACAAGATAGATGGAGACCATGTGTACTGAAGTATCCAAAACACCTATGAATATAAAGGTCGCCCGCAGAGGTGACGGGGCTAAATAAAAAAGGAAAATTCCTATGCCTTTGTTTACCTGTGATTTCCAAAGTGGGCTTATTTTCCTAGTAGAGGAACTCAGCTTTCATCTGCTTAAAGCAGTACTCCTCACACTACACTAGGATTCAAAACATAGAAGACCTCAACTCACAGTCCTGTCCCCCTCCAGACACTGGTCAGCCCCAGGCCTCCCCTCTGCAGGAATCTCCTCAGCAGGGGCGGGCTACAAACTGGAACCTTCTTGAAAAAAATCAGTGTTTCGAGAAATAGAAGAAGCCAGGCTCCTGGTTTGACCTGCTCAGAACCACCCTCTTGCTTTCCGTATTTTTCTTTCATAGTTCTTACCACAATTTTTAGTAATTAGTAGTCTAATGAGGAGTTTAATGTGCACCTCTCCTGTGAGGCTGCAGTCAGCACAGATGGTGTCTATCTTACTCAGTGTTGCATTCCCAATGCTTAGCAGCAGCAAGTGACACTTTTGTTGTCACTTGCCTACAACATGATGCTTTGTAAGCTAACTTAAACCTTAAAAAAAAAAAAAAAGAGAGAGAGATACACGTAAATAAAACAGCAGAGGCACCTATCAGGAAGTATTTTCTCCTGTGCCTGAATTTCTTGAATATGAGGTAGGAACTTTTCAGGACCCCCAAGCACAACAAAGCCTACAGGTACTCAAGTCCTTTGTATACTCTAAGTGGCATAATATTTGCTTAAAACCTATAATTATCCTCCCATGTACTTTATAACATCTCTAGATTACTTATAATACCCAATACGCTGCAAATGCTATGTAAATAGATGTTACACTGTATTGTTTAGGAAACGATGACAAGAAAAACAGTCTGCACATGTTCAGTACAAAGGACATTTATTTTTCAAATATTTTCAATGTGAGGTCAGTTGAATCCACAGGCACAGAATCCAAGGATCCAGAGGGCTGACTATATGAAAACCTTTTTTAGAAAATGTGGTGTGCTTTCAATTCCAAACAAGTAATTTAGAAGTAAATCTTTGGAACAAAAGAATGTTTAAAAAGAACTTTCTTCCTCACATATTCATGAACTGGGCTATTATATATATACACACACACAATTTTTTTTCAAATAACATTACATGTATTCTTAATCTGACCAGGGTCAACTTGGTTCATATCTTAAAAAGTCATAATTTGATCCTGCATTATTTCCCAGATCGATCTTATCTAAAAGAAACTGTGATACCTACTCCATTATAGTGTATTAACATATTTCTGAGTCCTCCGGAGGTCAGGCAATATGTTAGGCATCACATTTGCCTGACAGAGAGCACTATGAAGCAGCCCCAAGCAGGACTTAAATTAACCAACTGGCTTTTTGTGTTTACTTGTGAGTCTGTCCAAAGCCTAGGCCACTTGTCTCAAAGTGGGCAATGGAGTCACAGTAAGTGAAGCTCTGTGAGCCACTAATCCCCACTAAAGCCTGTAATGGCAGATGAAGCCAGAAAGCCTCAAAGGATAAGACAAGATCACAGCCAAGGACACGTGGATCTGATCTCAACTAGATTAAGACTATAGCCTCAGGTATCTCACCCCTGGGTGGATTAATTTAATCCTTTTAAAGGGTTAATACATTACTTAGAGAAGTCCCTGAGTAATTCTGCTGTTCTTTTTTTTTTTTTTTTTTTTTTTGGTTTTTTGGGTTTTTTTTCCGGTACCGGGAACCGAATTCACGACCTTGCGCTTGCCAGGCAAGCGCTTTGCTGCTGAGCTAAATCCCCAGCCCCCAATTCTGCCGTTCTTGAGTACTCCCCTCCCTTCTTCTGATAACCAAATAAATATGGGCCACCCAGAGAAGGTCTTAGTCTTAGCCCTGAGAGAATCTCAAATTCTGTGAGAGGCCTCTGATCATCCTAGTGCCCTGAAATCATTCCATTTGCCTCTTTTTATTTAGCCTTCACTGCATACTCGTTCGGGAGATTGTGGACCTCACAGCCCGCAATAACTAAAGAATATTATTAACTGGATATTTGCCCCAAAAATGCATCACTGTGGTGAGGAAGACAGACAGAATCACACACACACACACATACATACACGTTTGATAACCAGAAGACAAGTCAAGCACAGAACAGGGTCACAGTGATGGACTAGAAGTAGAAGTGCCACTCACTGCACCCTGGATGCTCAGGGGATCGATCATGTGAGGACACCAGGAGCAGAGTGTCTGAAGAAGGCAAACATCTGCCAGTGGGGACCACATCCTGAGTCAGGTGCTCTGAGGGTAGTTAGCAAAATGATCAACATGTCCAGAGTTGAGGAAGCGAGGCCAGGGGCAGGTATGGGTAAGGCT